CCACACACACACACACACACACACACACACACACACACACACACACACACACTGAAACTCAGCAGCTCAGACTGAAATAATGCACATGAATCATCTATCATATACACATTTAACTTGTAGTGTGAGCAGAAATCTCTTTCTGAAATCCCAAAAACTGTAAAAAAGTTCCTTTCAGTGCACGATTTTTGGTTATACAACTCTTAATAAACACATTTGGACTGATCGATATGTTTACAGGGTAAACAACTAAAATTAGGCAACAACAATAAGAAAATAAATAAAGATGAACATACAAATAATGTAAAAAATCAAATTTGTCAAAATAATAGTTTAATTTCTAACATTTTTTGTTAAATAAACATAACACAAAGATAGAGCTGAAAGCGTGAACACAGCTGAGTAGAGCCATGTCAGGTTAGACTAGTCAGAGGAAATAATAAACCTGATAATGAAACCCTCTTCTCCGAATCAATAAAATACAACCAATGCATCATCAATGTTGAACAACACCTTTTGTAACAATCATTTTGCCCAACAGTGTGAAAAAGTAAACAAAAATTGAGTTTATTGTTATTAAAAGTAAGATTGTGTGTTCCCACACTAAGTGAAAGAAGGGAAGTGTACGGCTCCGTGGACTTATCAGTAGATCTGGAAGGCAAATTAATGATTAATCGCCAAACATTAAATAATTTAGGGCGATCCCAAAACATGTGAATTGAAGTGGCTAGGTTCTGCTTGCACCAGTCACACATGGGGGTTTTATTGAATGTGAAGTGGGATAGTTAAACTTCGGTCAAGAGCAGCAGAACAGTATGCCACATACATTTCGAAGATGAATATATTCTCAAATCAATCCATGCTCTAAACGTAAAACTTCTTAAAGCCTCTGCCTAGCCTTTAGGGCAGTTACGTTTATACATTCTCTCTTTATTAAATAATATATGTCACCTAGCTTTCACTTTCAGGAGGATATAATGTCATTGATTGAGTCTTGGAGTGTGTCCTGGGGTCTTTGAAAGGGATTGAGAACATTTGAAGAGATGAAGCTGCACATTTTGAGAAGCATTTCTACTTCTATCAAAGCTCCCCTTCCTGTAAAGACTTCCAGTGCCACTTCACACCGCGGCTTGTTGTTAAACTAAAAGGCAAGAAAACTTTTGACAAAGCCTCAGCAAGAGTGGAGAGAAGCTTTGAAGATTAATGGGATTTTTCATCCAGAAAAACATCCGGAAAGTCAAACTATAGTCTGAATTTTTGCATTCTGTGTGTCTGTAGAACAATTAAAGAAGAGGCCATATTGTAACTTAGACAGCCCTTAAACAAATGACTTGTTGAGTACTAGTATGGTCATGACTTGAATATTTATACTATGAGGAATCAATGAAAACAGGGACGGTAGATTGTGCTGCAGTCATACAGCTGACACAGTACGTGATCTCCATGCACAGATGTTTGTGGGGCTTGTTTTCGGCTTTGCTGTGTCTATTTATATCCTCACACAATGACAATTGTGACATTATGGGATTAAACAAACAAATAAATAAATAGCAATAATTGAATTGGGTTTCAAAAGAAGCCATTTGTGTCTCTGTTAAGCTGCATTTATGACAGAACTCCCTCCCAATGCGTTGTATAACTACACATGAGAGGATAGTGGCTGAGTGACTGTCATGGTAAACAGCTTATACTCCCACAGGTGAGAATAGAAATTGAACAAAAACATGGTGTGTTTGTTTGCTGGAACTCACCTGTGAGTCTGCGTTGAGGACTTTGATCCTCTGGGTGGAGATGAACAGATCGACCTCGGTGAGGGTTTGAGCATCTCCGTCTGAACCCTGCAGCGAGATAAAGAACAACAAACATAAGAGTTAGTCAAATGTTCTTCTTGGACTCTGATTGTTCAAGATCTTTGAGGAAAACTTGCCGGTTTTATGGTTATTTACAAATGCCTGAATGGTCTGTGTTTAATGTTAAGATATTCAAAATGCATGCATGTTTGATTCAGTGTTCAGCTAGGGGAATGCTTGTTAGATGGACTGGTTGTTGTCTAAAGGTGAGGTGGAAAAGGCAGAAACAGAAAGCGTTTGGCAGTGGTGTTTGTTTACATCAACTGTCCTGGCACGAGGACAGCGAGTTGGCACGGAAACAACAAACAGCTTAACATTAAACCCTAACCAGCTGGCTGCTTTACCAGCTACAGCACATAACAAGCCTGCACACACTTCCCTCTAATCACTGTGTAGTGCAGACTAATAACATTACATCTGATTGTGCTTAATTAAAATTGCCTGGTGGAAAAATATTGATTCAAACATATAGATGTAATTAATATTTCACGGGAGGAGAGTTTGGATTGTAACACTTATTAGTACGTTCATTCTTATCCTACCGAGTGTCTGAAGAAGCATGGAAACCAACCAAAGATTAAAGATTAAACGCTTTTGGTGCAACTTCTTCCAATCTATCATTTCGTGCATTTATAATTGCAGCTATACTCCCAATTCTTAATCCAACTTGTTTTGTATATTTAATGCATAACGGTTTACAGAAGCGATTACTACAAATGACAATCATGCTCTTCTATGAACGACATCAGCCTTTTTCGATTCCCTGATGTGTATCTCTCAAATGTCTGATAACAGCATCACTATTATGTCAAACCATACAAAAATGAAAGAATACAACGGAATATAAAACCAAACAACAAAACGGGACCAGATATGTACAGCATCCAGCTACCAGCCCCTTCCCCTTAAGGACTGTTGGATTGTACCATTTTTCTTCTCCCTAGGTTTTTCATAACATCCTTGTCTCCACTCTACAGAATAGTGGAGTGGAAAGTGAATTATTGCAAGAATAATTTTCTGCTCACTGGTGAAGACTGAGTTAATCACACAAACAATTAGACGTGCACTGGATTGTAATCTCCCCAATAAATAATTTAACATATTTGATAGTAACGGCACTGTAAGTAGAGAATATGAAACATAATTGCATACACTATTAGAGTTGCTGCTGGTGACATGAGCTGTGCATTGGGTTCAGAAATGTTTCTCACTGTCCTCTTCACTGATATTACGTTGTATGCCCTTGAATCTAACGCAAAGGGTTATTGTATAACCATTTAGTATGTTGTGCTTGTTTTAGTCAGCAACACATAAACTAGAGTATTTCAATTTGCTGTTTTATCTTTGTATTTGTTAGTAAACTGGTTGTTAGACATTTTCTACTCTATCAAGCCCTCCACTATAAACCACCAAATCACCCAAGGCTTCGGATATTTCAGTTTAAGAGTATAGAATAACCTTAGTTTAACTTTTAAATGTCATTAATAACACTTGTATTAATTTAATCACTTGAGAATTGTAGAGTCTTAAACATACATTTATGATTTCATGAAAAGATTGCGCAGGTTATTACATTGTTATGGCACTGTATTAGGAGAAACCCCATGATACAATACATCCTAAAGCTTCTCTCTTAGTCTTCTGCTGACATGTTTTCTGTTACCGTGGTCACAGGGGTGGCATATAGATCGGTATCAATGGGCTGTTATCTCATTTGTCTCAGCAGTTCTCAGTGTTTTGCCTTACAGCCAACCCTGAGGCTTATAAAAGAATCTCACAGACAAAGTGCATAACAACAAAACATGTTTGTCTTATCCAAAAACGGATAAATACTGGTTCAACTAAAATGTGACAAAGACACAGATGGGGACGATGCACAGAAACAAACAGGCACAAATGAAATGAAAAAAAAGGTGAAGGTGGAGGGGAAAGTGGCCTAAGGGTCTTCCTTTTACTCTGTTTTTTACACACCGCCTTTTTCTTGACTTTTGCAGCCTTCTGTACCCTCTGGCAGGCAGGCAGGCAGACGGTGGGACAGGACAAGGTCAGCGCATACAGGAGCACAACAAACAGGAGGAAGAGGAGGAGGAAATAAAGAAGGTAAATAAAAGAAAGGTAAGACAGTTAAGCCTCAAACCAAACAGCAGGTGTGCTATCGCTGCTCTCAGAAACAGACAGAGGGAGTGTGTGTGTGACTGTGTGTGTGTGTGACTGTGTGTGTGTGTGTGTGTGTGTGTGTGTGTGTGTGTGTGTGGTGTGTGTGTGTGTGTGTGTGTGTGTGTGTGTGTTTTCTGGAGATAGCGTTCACACAGCCGTGTTGGTTATCTGATACAAATGAAAACAGCAATTATGGAGGATAATAATTGCTGTTTCTCTCCAAAACACATCAAATCAAAAGCATGCAGATATGAATTGACACTGTTCCTGCAATGTAGGCATATAAACTATGTAATCTATTTGAAGAGTCTAATGGTTATTTTTATAGGTTTTTCTTATTAGTGTTAACATTGCAAGTGTCAGTTTTGTGGTCAGAACATTTCCCCAAAGAAAGACATCACCAAAAGCACTTACAGCTTACGAAGACAATTATGTCGATAGTTAAGGTTGTGTGTATAAACACTGTTCTTACCACCTCTTATGTTCATGTCACAGTCTAAACACTATTACTGGGAAAGACATGCTGGAAAACAATCAACACTCAGAGGCAGGGGACCGGATAAAGCCCAGAGCGAGGATTTAAACTGCTCGCTTGGGGTTTGTTCTCTTCGCAAAAAAAAAAATCACAAACTGACAAGGTCGAGTCACTATGTTTGGAATAACAGCTCGGAGGAAGTTTGACACGGCTAATGTGTCTGATTAGTTCATCAGTATTTCTGGACTCCACATGAGTTCAAATCTAACCTGGTAATCGTTTAGGGTACCCTCTCTCCTTCAGCAATCAACCAGAGGAAATTATCTTGACCCTCGTTACATTTCAGATTGTGAGACTTTAAGTTTGCCTGAGCCACCTTGCAGAGCTTTAGTGAAAAGGAATAAATAAGAGCAGAGTTTTCGCTTAGCAAAGTTTCCTTCTCCGTGATCTTCTCTCACGCAAGTCAGACATCTGAGGCTTTCAGCAGCATCTACTGCTCTGCTGAGGAGGAGCTGAGCAGGGGGGGATAGATGGCAGGAAAGAGTGAGTGGGGGGTGAAGCAGTATAAATATTACATTAGACGGAGAGAACATCGTGCCAAAAAGATCTGCATAAATAACCTTTACAGTCTTGCTTACTGCTCTTCACCTGGCAAACTTTGTTTTGCTCCCTACAGCACTACAAGGTCTAAGTGTGGGCTTTTTTGGGTTAATCCAGAGCAAATATACAAATATAAAACATACAAATATGGCTGCATGTTATTGCACGTGTCGACTTGCAGTTGGCTGTGTCCATGTCAATGTCAGAACATTAAACGTTGTTTGCTGTGCAGCTTTTTATTCGTCAACGAGAAACAAATGGAGGAGATAATGGATGACTTCTTGTTCAATGGACCTGTTCCAAGCAGGGGAAAGCACTAAAAGGTGATAGCACACTGTTGCCATGGTTTCATCCTGACAAGACGTTTTGCAGGGAAGGCATTTATGCATGACAGAGAGTGAGTGAGAGAAGAACCAAACATAGATTGGATGGATGTGAAATGATGCCACTAGACATTCTTATTGTGGTGAAAAGGGCTTTTAGATTGAAACCAGCCAACGGGCCAAAAGACTTTCAGATTCTACGCCATCACTTTCCTGTCACTCTTCTTTTTTCCAAGAAGGCGCTATGTTTGGGTTGAGACCCTTCAGAGTGTTATTAGGGATTTGGGAATTAATCTTTAAATGGAAAACAAGATTCCAGTGGTTTAAGCCTGCAGTAGCAGATCACAGAAACATCATCACAGACTTAAGGCGGTAGTCTTTCATGGCACATTAAAGCTTTTTAATGTTTACAATGTCCGTAAAGATTATGGCTACATTTAAAAATCCAACACATTTTTTTAAATGGACTGAAAAGTGCCTCGAAGAGTGTCGACCAAAAGTTGTCAGGCTACTGTATATTCTTTTCTGAAGACATTTAACGTTTGAAAAACATCTGTATATTCCTCAAATAAAGGAATTGAAAAAACAAGTATTGTTTTGGTGTCTTCAACAACTACTGGTATTGCATTGGCTTAGATGTATCGTATTATTAGAGATTTTAAAATGTACAATTATTTGCATATATATTATAAATAAATACCCGCAGGCATCAGTATCCATGTATAGCTTCCTTAAGTCACCATGAGATATTCATTAAGACTCATCTTAAGGACCACTAACCTTTACTTCTTAGTAAAGGTGGAACAAATTACATTAAATTGAAGCACGTGAAATTAAAGGGTAAGGCTGAGTGGGGAAATTATTGAAGGAATTGTCTTAATCATCCGAGTCTGTCTTTTAATTAAGGCCCCAAAGTAGGTGTTTATTAACCTAGAGTTACCAATCATAAGGTACCCACTAACTGTGTCTAAAATAAAGACAATTAGAACAATTTTAGTGCACAAACCAATCTCTTTAGTGGCACCCATTAGAGTTAATTATAACAGGCAGTTATTTACTTTTTCATGCCATGTTGGTGTTTGCTACTATCCTTCACCAGGAGCTGGATCAGGAAACCACATCTTATATTTCAAACAAACAGTCGAGCAAGTTTCTGTCTCTCTACTTAAAATTCCTGACTTATCCTCACTGGACAAACACACAGCACGTAACATTCTAAAAGAAGACTGCTACCCGGGAGGTTATTTAATATTTAGAAAAACAGCCAAGCTTGTGTTCACATGAGAGGAAGATGAAAGAAACTGATGTCTGTGTAGCAAGTCTGCAACAAAAAAACGTCAGGGCCGCATTATGTCATCACGAAACAATGTTGTTTGATCACACTAACTTCGAAATGTTACACACGAAATGCTGGATGTTTATGATTTTGAGTAGCAGCTACTTTAAACTCAGACACAAGCACTCTGGGTAACAGTGATGAACAAAGCAATCAAGCTAATGAAAAATAATAGCTGAGGTCCTCTGTGCTGCACAGCTAACTACATTTCTCTCAAAGTGCAATGGTCATCATCATCATCACAACATTAGTGAACAGCATGGAGCAAATGTTAACATGCAAATATCAGTTCACATGCCAGGAGTCCCATTATCCAACCAGATGTGTCAAACTACGAGTCCTGTGACCCAATCCAGCTGCTCCCAAAGACCACTCATGCCTTATATATGTGACTATATTTCTTTGCTCTACACGCAAACAACCACTATGGTCAGCTTACATTTTATTGGCAGCAATCTGGCCAAGATGTATGCATGAATTAAGTACAATTGATGTATGAAATAACAGGGTATGCTCAATTTCCTAGACCTATTTTCCCTTATAGATATGTACAGAAATTAATTCATACACTGTATGATGAATGCAATCAAACATATTTATGTTAAGCTGCTCCCTGCAGGGCTTCTGTACATTTTGACATTTTGAGTGCTTTCAACGCAGCCTGAACAACAACACGACTGTAACATTATACTGGCACCTCTGGGGAGAACAGAAAGAACCGCCTTCATCAAAAACTAGGATGCCATTTTCTCACACCAGGATCGAACAGCTCTCCTGCTGTTTGTTGATATTTTAGTTTGGTGTAATTAATGAATGAAGAGGATATTGAAAAAACACAAACAGCACGAAATGTAGCAAACTAAGTTGTGTTTTTCTTGCTCTAATTCTTGTTCTTCCTCGTTCTGTTTGCTGATGAAAAATTAACAAACTCTTTGTTATTTTACAAATTAAGCTGCAAATAAGTTGGAGCAGTATCTGTGTTTGTCCAATAAATAAAATGTAACTTACAATATTTCCTTAACTTGTGGACAGTACTACTACGACTTCTTGGTCATTGCAATGTTTGCAACTCCTCCTGAGAAAATGTCATGACTGAAAAAAATTGCCTATTAATTATGTTTTGTTTTTTACCCTAAGAGATCTATATCTATACTTCTTCTAAATATCTGTGTGTGTCTTTCTGTGTATGTGTGTGTGTGTGTGTGTGTGTGTGTGTGTGTGTGTGTGTGTGTGTGTGTGTGTGTGTGTGTGTGTGTGTGTGTGTGTGTGTGTATGTGTGTGTGTGTGTGGGTTTGTTCGTATGTGTGTGTCTAAATACCTTGACCCTGCTGACAGCTTCCTGGGCCTGCATCATGCGAATGTTCTTGGAGGGGTTCCTCTCAGACAGCAGCTGGGTGGAGCCCAAGTAGTTAGCAGCAAAGATAATTCCATCAATCAGGTCCTCTGGTTCACAGGGTCCTGGGACTGGGCCATGGAGAAGCAGAGAGGGCTGTGATTAGCACGGAGACACGGGACGGAAAGAGTCAGCGTGCAGCAGAGAGCGTATTGTAATCAGTCAATGTGCTGTGTGGAGAAATAGAGCCAAACGCTGTTGCTCTGGACATGGAGATATAGTGATAGCAGGCTGGATGGGATTCAGCAGGGAGAGGGCCACTGGCTGGGGGCTGATGGAGGTGCTCTGCTGGTGGGAGGCTGGGCTGAGATTAATCTGCGTCTGTGATATGTAGATGTGGACTCGCAGACACCCACCCAGGGACACAATGTGCTGTCATGATCTGAAGCAGCAGACAGGCAGCTAAGCCCCTCATACATTATTAGGCCTAGCATCTGCCCAGAGGCAGGGAAAGAGCACTGAAAGAGTTATAGCAGGCCTATGAAATGATAGACTGAAGGCTAAGTAATACTTGGACTGGCTCCATGCAATTACAATATTTTGATTTAATCAACAAACAGGTGTGCAGACAGATTAACTTACCATCGACAAAGCTGGGGAACGCTGTAACCTTCTTTGTTGGCTGCAAGACAAAAACAGGATATTACAGACACATGTTTGTGAACAGGGTTGCAGTTCAAGTAAGCCTTTCTCTACATTCTTACTTTAAATTGATTTATGTTTGTGAATGTTGCTATGGGGTACACTTGGCTAACATCTGATGCTTTTCTTAATGTACTTTACTGCACTCAAACAGCATGTCAGTTTATGCAATAAAGCAGCATATACTTAATATTCCTTTTTAAAGATCCCCAGCACAAATATTTAACATGATTCACAGAGAAGCCTACTGATTTATTTTCAAAGAAGAATTAGAAAACATAGATGAGAAGAGAATCTTTAAGTTAAAGAAGCCCAAACCATTTCGGTCATTTTATTAGAAAGGACAACTTATTGCTTTTTACTTCTGTGATTTCAAGTGTTGCTGGACCTTTCACTAACATGCAGGACCTATTGTGATAAAACATGATGCCTCATGCTATTTTAGCAAATGCCATATCAACACATCCTGTGTGAACAGTGTGAGTGACTCGCCCCCAAAATGTGACTTGACATGTTGTGAAAGCAGTTTAGGAAGACACCCTGCCTCACAGTCACACAGAAGAATGCGTTGACAGCTACTGCTGCAGAAGCTGGGTAAATGTGATTGCTCAAGGGCACAAGAAAGGGGTGTGGTGAGAGTGCAAAGCGTTAATAATCCACTCCACAGATCAACCTGAAAGTGAACTGCAGGAGATGTAAGGGAGATGACGAAAAGGAGAGAGGAGGAAGCTACTGTATAGACTAAAGATGGCCACAGAGAGACAGCTGTGTAAAGTGAAGTGATTCATGAGATTCAAACGTCCAAATGGATGCACTTGAACTCTAACCTGGGACTACACATTCAGAAAGTTTACTCCACTGTGGGGGGAGTCTGTACAGGAAGCATCCACTGCACCCATCTCAGTGAAATATGGCTCTCATAAAACAGCAAGCAGACTCGCTGCTCAATTACAAGAAGGCCATCACGCCTTAAGCAGAGGACATCAGCTGAGGTTGTAATTACACTATCACTCATTTACTCAGACAGGCTCACACACATGTTCAAACACACACCCATAAACAACAATATCCTCCGTGTGAAGTGTTAAAGACTGAGGTCTGATGAAGGGAAGAACGTCTCACCTCTGGAACATTGTTGTTCTCCAGGGGAACATTGAGGTCGGAGCGCTGCTGTTTCCTGGGCTGCTCCGCACCATTGCTCACCTGGCGGGTCAACACAGAGAGAACAGACGTGAGGGGATGAGAATTAGAAAAGGAATACATGTCCTTTTGTCGGTGTTGCTGGTTGGAATGGGAAGCAGAGATGTAGGTTGACAAACTCATGTGAATTCTACACCTTTAACAGTCTCCTATTATGCTATTTGTAGGCATACATTATGGGTCTCAGATATATAAAAATATATAAAAAACATGATGTGTTTTGCTCAAAATACCAAACAGATCATGCATTTTAGACATCCCTCATATCCCTCTATTTCAGCCCTGTTAGAGAACTGCAGGTTCGGGGTCATTAGCTTGAAAAAAAAAGAGGAGGGGGAGCTAATGCCTGCTCAGAATTCTACCGGAGACACAGCTAAATGCTCCCGTGATTAAACGCCATATCATGTTCCAAACCACATCAAAGATTATTTCTGAAACAGTATGGAGCTCAAATGCTTTTTCTCTTGCGGGTTTACCACAAGGTGAGTTCCTTTTTATTTCCTGCTTTTATACACATACTCTCTCCAGTACAGGTTAGCTCTGAGTGTTAGCGATGCTAATGTAAACAAAGACCATATTACGTCCAAAACATGTCAGGCATTGTTTCTGATAGCAACTTTCTGATAGTGTCGTGGGTCCACATTTCCGATATGACGTAATCTGGATCAGCTCTGTTGTACCCCCGAGATTTGGGTACGGAGGAAAAGAGAGAGGGTTTTATTTTCTGACACTTTGTGAGTCCCCTGACACACCAGGGACACATATTTATGTATAACAGACATCAAAAAGGGCATTTAGCATGATAGGTCCCCTTTAAAGCCCTCTGGAGTAATAATAACAAATAAAGAGTGTGACATACAAATGATACAAAATAGTGTTTTGTTGGAGTATAAAAGCAGTCTCAGTTCAAACTGTCTTTAACTTGTCCTCCAGCCAGCTTGCTTTTGTCTCATCTCTCTTCACATAAATGCACATAGAGGCTACAGTACATCCAGCTTATAATCACACAGAGTGAGGACTACATGTATTCCCCTGGATATCCATCTTGCAGTCCACAACTGCTCATTAACATTCAATCTTATTACTAGCTGAAATGAAATCCTCCTGCCAATAAAACCTCCTGCTGCTTGTAGTGGCAGTGAGAAAGTGAAACCTAGCCCATGCTGTTGTGTATCTGGAACAAAATTAATTACCCCGTGCGTGACATAAGTTGCTTCCTATGCGACGAGAGCTAAACGTAAAGTACTTATCAGTATTCATCATGCTGCCATACTCAGTTGTGCAAACAACCATTAAATTAATGAGACTCATGTTGTGGCTTGCTGGGATGGAAAACTAAACCCTGATGCTCTACAAAACTACATTCATGTACATACTGCAATCAAACATGCCTGCATCTGTAATAGAACATCTTTAAGAGGACATGTGTACAACTTTTTCACCAATAAACACACCAATTATACTACTTTATCATAATTAGCATTCAAGACCTCCACTCAGAGGACTAGCTGCTGCAGTCAATGTGTACACGCAGGACGGATTTAGCAGGATTATTTTCGTGATTGAGAGTGTGATATTGCACTCCTGCGAATACTTATGAAACTAAAATAATAAAATAATGTGAGTTTTCCTTTTTGCTAGACATAATTAACCACGGGTGCACAGGCTTTGCAGTCAGTAACAGACTTGGTGGATATAATACGAGAAGTGAGTGCTGTAATACTACATTAACTCAGTCTTTTAACATTGATGGATAAAAGTAAACCTATTTAAGGAAAAGTGTATTGGTATGATTAAGCAAAAACTGCTCAAAATTGGTACAAAAAAATGAAGGGAAGCCCTAGAAATATGCTGAATTCCTTTATGGTCGTAAAGCTTTTTTTATTCAAATACAAATAAAAACAATATTCTAAGCAAGCAGGATATTATAGGAACCGCTGAGTCTGGGCTGCTAAAGCACTTGTCAAATTAGTGATTTTACCAACATACAATTTCTCAACATGTAGCACAATTTAAAAGAAAAAAGCAATACTGAGGCCTTCCTAATGCATCACACCACCAGATTAGTGTTTAGATGACCTCCCTGTGTTTTGTAACTCTTCTTAGTCATAATCGTTTGAATCCACACTGTACAGCAAAGCTTTTATTGAATTCACTGTTGTCCTGGTTCACTCAAAGGTCATGTTGAAGTGCTGTACAGAGAACCTTTCATTTGATAACAGAGGACGGGCCGACCAAATAATCTCAGTGCGTCTGGGAATCTGCACTGTGCCGAACGTTCTTCCAATGTAATCTGATTACACTGTCTGACCCAGTTCTGTGTTACAAATGAGCCACATAGTGAGTGTAACATGTGCACAATGTGGAGCAGGTGTGGATCAGCAGGCTGCCCCCAGGAGACTTTCCTGTTCTCCTTTTAGCATCTGACTTTCAGAGGAGGGGGGAGCTCTGTGTGTGTGAGTGTATAGATGTGACTCTACAGAGTGGGTTGTCTGCATTCATTCAGGCCTGTGAGAAGGAGAGAGATGAGGAGGGGGACATCTCAAGGTAACTTGGGAGAGGGGAGAGGCTCCAGCTATTATCTGGAAGGCGATGAGCAACATGTCGTGGCTCAAGTAACTCATCTTCAGCTCGTCACCACAAAGATCTTTCCATATTCAATGGCAGGGGTCTCTGCCACATAGCATCGTAATACCCTGAATATACAGTATGGTATTTAGCATATTGGTATGTTCTAGGGCTGGGCGGTTGGCTGAGTACATGAACAGTTGTTTTTTTGTTTTGGTATTTAATGGTCTGCATCAAGCAAGTTACTAAGTAGATTTATGTGCTGTCCTCATTCCAATTTTGAGGAACTCTGAGGTAAGTTGTGTACTTTTACTCCACTACATTTATTTAATACCTTTAGTTACTTTGCGGATTTGGATTAATGACGTAAAATATAATCAACACCTAAACAACACTTTAGTTACACCTGGAGTCAAATTCACAAGCTACCCTGCAGTTTACAAAGTCATTAAAATTCGCTGCACCTTTACCAGCTTTGATAACACAAATCTGCATCAATATATATAATCAAAACATATAATATATATAATTCTGAAATGGACCTCCATAATGAGTACTTTTACTTTTGGTACTTCAAGTACATTCTGATGACAATACTTTTCTTTTTTTTTTTACTTAAGTAACATTTTTAATGCAGGACTTTTACTTGTAACAGAGTATTCCTACACTCCGGTACTTTTACTTTGACCTAAGTACAAAAAGAGTACTTTTCCCACCTCTGCGTCCAAAGAAATCAGAGCAGCTTAGCCACTGCTCAGCAGTTAGACATGGCACATAGCCATCACAGCATAAAATAGCATAAAACAGAGCATCTTACTCTAAGAAAGTTATTTATTTTGACAAATCCAGAGTAAGTGATTGTTGTAACAGCTTACATACTAACCAAGATGGGGTTGTGGTGTGGGTGTCACACACACACGCTCCAAAATATTGGCATTGGTTGTTAAGCTGACAGTGAATGGATGGAAATTAAAACATATCGCCCCATCCCGTTGTGTTTCCTCTAATCATCTGTGGGTGCTACTCTCCAAGTGAAGTACTATAGCCTAATTGGGTTGGAAAGTATGTTCATGTTTTGAAAAGTATGTTCATGTTTTGGAAAGGCAAACCAACAGGGACAGATTATGGGAAAAAACAGGTCTCCCAGCTAACCAATCATAAACAGCTCACCTGCTCTTGTTGCCATCGCTGCCTGTCCTCAGAGGAGCGTGCGTGTGCCTTGACGCCCCTCTGGAGGTCGGGGGTGTTGTGGTGCATGGAGGGCAGGTTCAGGGACTTGGGTCTGCTGTCATGGCGATGGGGAGCTGGTGGGTAGGGGGCAGCGTCAGGCTTGGGGTGAGGGTAGTCGCTCGGGGCAGGGTCCTGCGCCAGCTCCTCCGGGCTCTGGTCCGTGCCGCTGCTCAGACTCCCCATGCTCATACTTATCTTGATCTCAGCTACTATTTGGTCAATGTCCTCCTCCGCCTCCTCCCCCGTCTCCCCCTCCACCACCAGCACCTTACGGCCACGGTACGGAGAGACTCGCACCGAGTTCCCATTGTCCTCTGGGGCATAGTAGTCTCCAGTGTAGGCCCTGCCATGTCTCTCCTCTTCGTCACCATCCTCATCTTCTTCCTCATTAGGGCAGTACTCCTCACTCTCTGCCTCCTCCTCTTCCTCTCTGTCCTGCAGGGTGTCTGTAAGGGGGGGCTGGTGGTGGTGATGGTTGTTATGGTGATGGTCCAAAATGGGTTCTGGTCTTCCATTGTAGATCTGCTCGTCTGGATCCTGCTCCACCACGTCGCAGCGAACCTCCCCCTCTCCCTCCACCCACTCCTCCCCCAGGTGCCTCTCTCGCCCCGCCCAGGCCTCCTGCCTGACCTGGCCTTCCTCTCTCCACTCCTCCCTCACCTCCTCGTCTCCCTCTCTCCACTCCTCCCTCACCTCCTCGTCTCCCTCTCTCCACTCCTCCCTCAGCTCCTCGTCTCCCTCTCTCCACTCCTCCCTCACCTCCTCGTCTCCCTCTCTCCACTCCTCCCTGGGATCTTCATCTCCCTCTCTCCATTCCTCCCTCGGCTCCTCATCTCCTTCTCTCCATTCCTCCCTCGGCTCCTCATCTCCTTCTCTCCACTCCTCCCTCTGCACTTCCTCTCCCTCCACATCTCCCACTCTACACTCCTCCTTCGGCTCTTCATCTCCCTCTCTCCACTCCTCCTTCGGCACTTCATCTCCCTCTGTCCACTCCTCCTTCGGCTCCTCATCTCCCTCTATCCACTCCTCCTTCGGCTCCTCATCTCCCTCTCTCCACTCCTCCTTCGGCACTTCATCTCCCTCTCTCCACTCCTCCTTCGGCTCTTCATCTCCCTCTGTCCACTCCTCCTTCGGCTCCTCATCTCTCTCTATCCACTCCTCCTTCGGCTCCTCATCTCTCTCTATCCACTCCTCCTTCGGCTCCTCATCTCCCTCTCTCCACTCCTCCTTCGGCACTTCATCTCCCTCTGTCCACTCCTCTCTCTGCTCTTCATCTCCCTCCTCATCTCCCTCTCTCCACTCCTCTCTCGGCTCTTCATCTCCCTCTATCCACTCCTCCTTCGGCTCTTCATCTCCCTCTGTCCACTCCTGCCTCACCCCTTCTTCCTCTTCTCTCCACTCTTCCCTCACTGCCCCCTCTACCTCCTCATCTTCCACCCATTCTTCCTCTCTCACTTCTGCTGGCCCCTCCCCCTCTACCTCCTCGACCCACCCTTCCACAGCCTCCGGACGCTCTTCAGTGGGGTCTCCCCCTTCCGGCATGGGGGTGACACCGTCCCCCTGGCTCTGGCTGGGGTTACACTCCCCCTGGTTGCTGCAATTCATACCCTCCATGTAACTGTCGTCCTCCGGGCAGTAGCGGATGTAGTAAGTCACACCTTCATCTTCCTCTGCCATCCCTGGAGAGATTTATGATGACATGGAGATGGGGGGCGTCTTTATTCAAATCCCAACAAGTGCCGAGCTACTAAACATTTACTTATCATGGGAATAGGAACTGAAAATCACTTCACTCATTTAGTTTGTCACTGTCAAGGGATCTTACTCATGTTTTAATTCTGAGAGACAAGGTTTCCAAGTTATTTTCCAAGTGGAAATTCAGTCATGGTACAAAATAAAACCTGTGGGGATATTTTTCCACATTGCACCCTTGCTTGAATTCACAAAAATGACTCATTCGGATGATGATGCAGCTTCTGACTGTTACATTTTTCAGCTTCGGTTATTTATTTATTTATTTATTTTTTTGTGTAGTTCTTGCTCAACAGAGGAAAAAAGGATAAAATAAGCTATCAGGGCTGTAGAAAGAGACAGTGACGGTTCAGAATCAATAACGGAATAATAGATACTCACCATCATTGTAGTCTTCATCTGAGGTGTTGTTAATGTAGTCAGAGCTGGAGTCATCATCCAGGCTGTCAGCTCCACCGTGGAAGTCCGCCCGCACATGAACATCTGGTTCACGTTCATGTTCTGGCGTAGAGGGTGTTGCTGGCCGCTTGTTCTCCAGTTCTGCATCTGCTGGGTTGCTGTACAGCTTCACTTCCACCTCTGCGTTCTCCTCCACTTCTGGATGGGTGCAACCCACGTCTGGCGATTTGGGAGAAGAGTATTGTGCCTTACAGGAACGGGGGAGAGGTTTCTGATCACGAGGCTCTTTGGGGTAGCGGACCGGGCGTTGGCGAGGGGGAATGGCTTTCAGATCACATGAGTCTGTAGGACGAGGAGTGGGGCAAGAGGCAGGTCCTGGGGCAGCCATGCCGTTCACTACGCTGGTCCCCGGCCTCTTCCTATGAGCCATGAGTGGCCGCTTACTGGCCATGCATTGTTATTGATTTGACCCTAGGAGAAAGATGAAGACACATGAGCAGTGTTAGATCAACTTCAAATGCAACTGTTAACCACTCCCATGTGAGTGCAAACACAAGAGAAGAACAAACTATAATAGATCTGAATATATTAAATGTACAGCGCTGAAGTGGGTATGCTTTGGAGCTTTTACCACTGTTGTGCGTTTCAGCAGAACAAAAAATGGCAAATCTGCTCACACAATAGATTTCCTTTATCAAACACATAACATGGAGCTTTATTCATCTTTTTCTGCTCTTTGCAGACAGCTGCAAAATTGTTTCATTGCCTGACAAACCAATCTGTTCCTGTAATTGAGCATGGCATTCTCTAGTTTACATACAGAAGAATACATTTGTGCCTATTTAGCTCAACTTTGGCTTCAAATACATAAATTAAGGGGCTCATTGATCACTCAGGCTCAGCTTTAGAACAATAGACACAGAGACCGTGTTGGTCAAATATAACTAATGAGACTCTTCCGGGGAAAAAATCAATAGTTTAATCAAAGTCATCTCCACATGGGAGCTGCACACATGACCTCGTATCATTGGGCTTGCAGATGGCAATCATGACTGGCTGAAGATTGATTTGGTAGCTTGTTGGTAGCAACATGCTACGACATTAACATACATCATCAACGTTATGGAGCTACACCTCTACCTGTGTTAATGTGCTGAATGATGAAACTTTTGGACACAAACAGTGTATGGCTAATTCTCATAACAATGAAATTCTTAATTTTCCGTTGATTTTACTCTAATGAAAATATAGATAGAAACATTTTATTTCTGAAGATTTTAGACATTTAGATTTTAACAGCTACATAATTCAGTTAAGATACACAAGAAAGTATATTCTAGCATTGGCTATATTAACATTCAGAGAAACCCAAGAACAGGTCAAAATAAAGTATAAGGCCTACTTTCCCAAATATAAGAACAGATGTAATAAAAAATGTACCCGAAAACATCAAAAGGTATGCTTTTGTTTGTGAATAGATCCCTTTGTAGACATAAGAAACACACACATATGCAAGCCAAGCATCAACACACAAACATATTGAAAGCACAAAGTTAAGAGCACTTTACTATTTGTTGTACTGTATTCAAACAACCAACAATGTTCTGTAAAGTGCGCCCTCTGTGCCCTGTATCATCCATTTTGGAGCCAACCCCACTCTGTTTTGCCATCATGTTGCCATGAACAACTGCCCTCAAGAGAGATGGTGTTGCTGCTTTCCCCCTTTTTCCTTCACCATAATTATATTTTCCATCACCAGAGATTACACTGGTTACTTAGCTCTGCACAACCTGGCACAAACAAATCAGCTCTAAAACACAAAGACGCAAATACAGAAAGAAGCACACACAGACACACATGGGTACACAGTGGGTTGTTCCACAGGTAGCCAGGTTAGGGGACTGAGATTACATGTGTACACAAGCCCACGTACTGGGCTGACTGGCTCTTGTTGCTGTATGGCAAACATCTTTTTTTTTATCAAATAAAAGCACTACAAAAGAGGCTTCTTCACAGTGATTGTAAATGCACACACTGTTCTTTACACCTGATGAAATATAGCAACATGTACATCATTGGAAATAGAAAAAGGCAAAAACGTTTCCACTTAATGAAATAAAAATGAAGGCTTGTTAACAGCGAGGAAAACATGCACTGACAGAGTTTCCTACCTGATGTCCTGAGCAGGGTGGTGGGATGCAATAGCAGTCAAACAACGGCCCTATCCTCCCCTCCCTCAAATGTTTCCCTTTGCTCCTCCCTTCCCCCACCAGCTGCTCCACATCATGCACCTCCCTGGCTCCCCCCCCCCTGCCCCTTCTTCCTCCATTATATCCCAGCATCCTCCTGTGTAGACTCAGCCCCGCCTAGTTCAATTCCCCAGAGCTGAGGGTAAGGATTGGTAACTATGGGTAACTGCATCCCTTGGAGACTGATACCCTTTGACCTCTTCTTTGTTGCCCTCCTATTCATACGCCTTCTTTTTTTTGGTGCAGTGTTGTCCGACTCTTCCAGTATTTCTATCATATCATGTTTTTTAATGTTTATATTTTTCGAGAGTGCCATTACATCTGAATTTGGAAATCATATAAGACTCAAGCCAGGTGGCTTTTCCTAAATCCGCTTTGTCTGGCATGCATTTCAGAATTGACATTGTTTATTCAATGAGCATGCATTTGTATGTCATGAGACACAGGTGGGATCTTTCCAGCCTGTTTGGTATTACTGTGACATATTTAGAATACAAGAGAGCACACAGTACAACTAAATACACAGAATGTGTGTCTACATGTAATAGTTTGTATCTGCACTCGTTACATACATTTTATCAATAGCGGCATGAAAATGGTTAGTCAGTTTGTTTGTTTGTTTGTTTATATATATCTACAATGTCAATTGTAGTACAGACTACTGACTAGTTATTATATCTTATGCAGGTGCAAAATGTATGTAAATATATTCAGTCAGCTGGTGTGCGCAATTTTAAATGATGTCGAGCAAGGTCAGGTGACATGAAGCAACGCAGTTGTCGTTTTTCTATTGCTTATTAAAATTGGCCTTGACCATGCCCTTCATATCATTGTTCACATCATTGCCCAAACTAAAGTCTTATTTACATTTTATGCGTTTTGTTTCTCTGCCTTGTTAGCAGAGATGTGCTCCAGCCCCATGGGAGCCTGAATATAAATGAGTGGCTAAAAAAAATGAATCAATGATTGGTGTAAAAAGAAATCCAAATCCAGCTGGCTCTAACACTTTACATCCCACCTGCACGCAAACACAAACAAAACGTTTTTGTGTCCCTCAAAAAAGCGCTGAAATGTAGGCAACAACAAGAGCATACCAGCCTGTCTGCAGTATCCAAATTGTCTGATATGAGCTACAGCTGTGTACCACTTGTGAAGGGCTGTCGCTATGGACATAGCTATTCATGTTTGCCACAAAATGCTTCATCTACGGTAAGAGAAAGCTTTGAATTACCCTCAGACTCTTGTTTGAGGTAAAGAAGGGCTGAGGAGAGGACAGATGACCAGAGAGGCAATCAGAAAGCAGCAGATGGCTCAGTCAGAGCGAGGGCTGCGGGAATACTAATATCTGGCTGCCTTGAATTCTGAGATCTGACCTCTGCTCACACCAGTGAATGAGACAGGCCGGTTTCTACAGGGAAGAGACGAGACAGGACAGATGAGTGTGAACCATGAAGAGTCATTGAATGTAATATGACAAAAACGGTATTTCTTATTCTATTAGCATATAATGAGCCAGCCTCTTAGATTATGGGAAAGACAAGATCACTATCAATGAGCTATTAAACTCAGAGACCTACCTGAACTTAGACAGAGATTCAATGTAATGTTAGTTAATGTTATACTTTTCTTGCAGTGTATTTGTGTGCTTATCTTCTGCAGTAGTTCAATTTCTCACTTTTTACATGTTTGATGCATGCATAGCTGGATATTAACCACAAGGCTCATTATATTACTCTCAAAGGATTGTGAATGTGAGCTCTAATAGGTGAAATGGGAAGAGTGGGGGGGAGGCAGTGGCTTATTGGGCAGGTGGATTACGTTGTCTTGTACCAAATTAATTTCAATGCTGATGCAACCTACAAGCAAATCGCAACTGCACATTATGCAGCACTTTTCACTGTGGCAAACACTTTTAAGCATTGTAAGCATTAGCTGGACCACTGCCATTTTAAAGTAGGTTTTTTATAGATTATTGATCTTGATAATTAGGAAATTATATGCATGAATGCAAAATAAGATTTATACACATCACCATCTATTGATGAGTCACTAACATTTATAACTACTGAAAGGGTGCATTGTTTTTAAGTTTAATACACACGTCCATTTATGAATGAGTCATAACATTCACGCTGACCTAATACACATTTTTCACATGAAATGCAAAGTAAGATGCAAAAGAGCCAAGCAAAACATTTTATTCACACATGAAGAAAATTAGGACTCAAAGTAATGACTGTTTATGCAACTGATACACATATTTAAACATGAGAGCTTTTCTCAGACATAAATTAAAGACTTGGTAAGAAATAATGGTACTCAGACTGGAAAGGCTTTGTGTATATCCTTGAACAAGCGTCCAAGCAGTCCATCAGGGTGAGCAGAGCCAAGCCAAGATGACCATTCAAGAACCTTGAGGTGTTCCTCCAACAAACTCTCTGTACGGTTTCCTCTCAGTCTACGGACATGTCCTTTGACGGTCGACCAAGCTCTTTCTATATGTTGGGTATGACTGCCGTCTGGGGGTTCACAGACACCTGCTGTGGTTTATGGTGTAGTGGTTGTACCCCATGTTACTCAGCACTCTCCTGTATGCCCTCCACTCATCACTAATAATGCTACTGCCTAACTTAACATGTCGTCTAATCAGAGGGACAAGGTGGCATCTTGATCGTTTCTCCACTAGTTTCAACACTAGTCTCCGCCTTTCGTCTTTAACTCCCATCATTCCGAAGACCCATTTCTTCCTTCTCCAGGTGTGTCCAAAGCGTCCACGTGCATACTAACAAAAAATAAATCATAACATCATCTTAGTAAAAATTGTTGCACGTCATGTTTCAATATGCCATACTTGTTTATTAGGTGCATTGTATAACATAAGTTAAGGATAATTATACAGTAATGGTCCATATTGATTTTGTTTTGTTTTTTGTATTCTCTTGTACAAGAAAGCCCAGTCTATAACTGCCGAACATAGGAACTGGGTACAGTACCTTCTCCCAGACACAAATACTCAAATAAAATAGTTTACTTTATCAGCATCAGGGATGGGTATCGTTAGGATTTCATCGATACAGAGCGGTATTTTTCGATACTCTTATCGATACTTTTCAATAATTTGGTGCTCCAAATTATAGACATGATTACAAGCTGTGAAGATTAAACAACGGTCATTTTATTGTAATTTATTTTTATTTATTATTTAAATGTAACTTTTTAAAT